CTCTAAACCCCTAAAACCCTAAACTCCAAACCCAATACCCTAACCCCTAAACCCTAAACCCCTAAAGCCCTAAACTCTAAACCCTAAACTCTAAACTCTAAACCCAAAACCCGAACCCCTAAACCCTAAACCCTAAACCCTCAACCCCAAACCCTTTTGGACTCCTTTTGGACTTCGGGCAGAAGGTTCGAGGTTCTGCGAGGCAACTTCGGAAACTTCCTGGAACCCACGGTGGGAAGAGGACTTCATGTAGGGTTTAGGGTCTAGGGTTTAGGGTTTAGGGTTTAGGGTTGGGAAGAGGACTTCATGTAGGGGCCTTAATAGGGTTCCTTGTTTTAATTATGGCAGAATATGCCCCAAAGCCTACTCTAATTTTGAGGCCTCTTTTTTATGTCCAAAATGCTGAAGACAATAAGTAAGCAGCAGCAGCGTGCAACAAGAACAAACAAACAGGGTACGAATCAAACTTAGTAGCATTTAGCAACCAGGCATGATGATAGTGAGGACACCCTAAAACCCTAAACCCTAAACCCGCAAAACCCCTAAGCGAGCAGCGCGACTCAGGGAAACGGGTCGTGCATGGGTCTGCTGGGTTTAGCCCAGAGGCCCCATAGTAGCTCCTTTTGGGGGTTACCTTATAGGATTCTATATATATATGAACCCCAAAAAGGAACTACTTACCCTAAACCCTAAACCCTAAACCCTAAACCCTAAACCCTATATGAACCCCCCAAAAAGGAACTACTTTAGGGCCTATGGGTAGTCGAGTGGGGGGCTTCTTCAAGGCTTTGGGCCTTGTTGCGTTCGTTAGACTACGGGCTTTACGGTTTCGGGTTGGGGATTTTTTTTTGCGGTTTAGGGTTTAGGGTCTGTTTAGGGTTGAGGATTTAGGGGTTAGGGTTTAGGGTTTAGGGTCTGTTTAGGGTTGGGGATTTATATAGGGTTTAGGGTTGAGGATTGCGGGGTTCATTGATAGAGGGGCCCCTGAATCAACCAAAGCCGAGGCCGCGTCTCGTCCCACGCCACAGGAACGTTGCCAACAAACATCGTCCGCTTCTGCGGGGCTCTTGGGTTTAGAGTTTGGGGGTTTCCATGGTTTGGTTTCCAAGGATTTCGGTTGAAGGGTCTAGTCTTATGGTTTGGGGTTTGGGGGTTCAGGGTCTAGGCTTTAGGGTTTGGCGTGCCGCTTTAGGGTTTTGGGGCTCACTCCTTTTTGCCTGAAACGCCACCAAGAGTCAGATTCTGCAGCCTTTCAATATTCAGCGGGAAATGCGAGGTATCCAAGCCTAGAAGCCCGAAGCCCTAAAACCCTGAACCCTAACGTCATGGCCTCTTTATGCTTTCAGTCGGCGACAACAGCAGCAGTGTAGCTCTGGACCCTAGAAAGCCAGCCGGAGCAGGGGTAGTCACAAGAGTGTCTGTGACCATGACCGGAATGGCGTGATAATCATCATCTTCTTCACCACCATAAAAAAACACCATCATCATCACCACCATCCCCAGCCCCATCACCATCATCATCACCATCATCATCACCATCATCATCACCATCATCATCACCATCATCATCACCATCATCACCATCATCACCACCACCACCATCATCAACGTCGCCATCATCAAAACCAACCTCACCAGCATCGACATGAAAAGCGGAACGAAGTGAGAGAAGACGTGCTAATCCTCAATGGGAGCTAGGATTAGGGGGACCCTTGGGGATATAGACCCTCTCAATAAGGTCCCTTTTAAGAGAGCCAAAAGTAGGGTTCGGAAGGGGTGCCCTTTAAGGGGTACCCCTAATAATACTACCTACTCAACGAACATCTAAACACAACAGTTTGCTCCTCTAGATACTGGCCCTACTACGCTGAACAACGAAGGTTACGTAGTAATGCAGGGGCCTCAAAAATTGGAATAGGGTTTCGGGCTCCTTCACAGTAGAACTATGACAAGTAAGTCTGAGGAATAATACTGGTAACCATTTAGCCTTCTATCTTAGTGCGGTTGAGAGAACCGGCCTCCCGTTCCTTGAGTTCGGACTCATCGAGCTTGCGCTTCTTCCCAGACCTCAGAAGCTGCAAAACCTGATCTAGGCTTTGTTAGGCTTTGTTGTTTTGAAGGCCCTTAGGCCAAAGCTGGGCACTCCACAGAGCTGCGCAGCCTCCAAGTTCCCTCACTTGTGCCAGTACCATCAGGTCTAAAGGCCGGGAGTGAAGGGAACAAACTAGATTCCCCAGTAGCCCCTTGAAAATACGGGTACCCTTTTTCCTCCTGTTCGGGTCCTGGTTCGGGTTTCGGGAATCGTAAGGTAACCCACAAACAAAAGGGGCAAAAGGGTACTGCTGGGGAACCTAGCGCCCCACATCCAACCCCCAACCTTCGGCAGGCGCTGGCTTTCGTTTTCAGGGTTTAGGGTTTGGGGTGTTTTCGGGTTTAGGGTCTTTTCTGGCGCAGCAAAACCGTGCAGGTGACAGGTACCTAAACCCCAAGCCCTCGACCGTAAACCCTGAATTCTAAACCCAGGTACGTATTGCACGTCTTAAGGCTAAGGCTTTAGGGGCTGTACTTGGAGGTTCATGGGTAGTTATAAGTGGGGTTATAAGTAGGGTAACTATAGTTATCACCCATATTAGGGGGCTTATAACCCCACTTATAACTACCCCTAAACCCTAAACCCTAAACCCTATAGAAC